TCCAGCATTCGAAGGGAATCCTCAGAGTAAGCAGCGATAGAGTCATCTGAACATAGAATACGTACAGCTCCGCTAATATTTCCAGCTTCAATTTTCGAAGTAACCCGACGACCTAAAAGATTATCGCCGTCTCCAAAAACTCTGTTTGCAGATTTACCCTCTCCAAAAAGATCTGATGTATCACTTAAATTAGAAAGATTCTTGAGGTTTCGTTTAATCACAGTAGTAAGAGAAGTTTTTCGGTCAGTTTTTTTTTGATCCAGGTAATTTGAAAACCTTATATGCAAATAAAGACAGTTGCTTCCAACTTTCAAAAGAGTTTATCCTTTCAAAAGGCAAAAACTCTTCCCAATGGCGCCTAATTTTGTCCATCCAATATAACTTTTGAAAACAAATAAACATCACTGGATGTCATATTAATTAGTTTGAATATTGTTGCTTTGACTTACCAGAAAATAAATCTCTTTTCGCTCCTTAAAGTGTTACCAGCACTATACCAATTGACAATATCAACTTTTCCTTCGGCGGAATACATCTCACATGACCGAAGATAAAAATACGGAAGCCAAAGCAGACATTTATTTGTTTTAAGCAGTTATTTTGAAAATTAGGCGCCCTTCAGAAGAAATTACATTCGCGTAGTATTTTTCCAGTAAAAACTGGAAGTAGTTCTTGGAGATTCCAATCCTTTAGCAACTTTTCCATATTTATTATTTAACTTTACAATACTTTTACACTTAACGCGTCAATGTTCAACCGCTAAATGGCCACGGCCAAATTATTCCTAAGATATCTCTTTCTGTCTACTAATGTTTCATTAACTGCAACACATCACTTGAATAATATTAACCTCAGTAGTAGTAAAAGTCTACAATGTTACTGTTTGTAGTAGTAAGCTATTCGTTGCGAACCATGCGTAGTGGTAAAATTCACAAGACATAAAGTTGTACAATTTTTAAGCATTTTGTTCCGTTTAGCACAACACATTCGTAGTGGTAAATTTTATTTACAGAGTGTACCATTTTGTAGTGGTGCGTATCTATCATTGTACTATTAATCCTAGTAGGATTGTCCTTGTTGTAGTTAATCCAAAGTGCATTACTACTACAATAGTAAAACGAAAACCAAATTATTTTTTTCAGTGTAGCCGACGGCATTTTAGTAATTTTTTTATGGTAGAGTTTTCTTGTTGGGTTTTCCCGGTCTATAAAAAATCAAAACAAATTCTCAACCCTCCCAGCAAACATACTTTACGTTTAAAGACGGTTTTAAAACGCTTTGAAAGGATAAATCGGTATTGGTAGTATGGTACCTATACGTTTTTGCCGAACTGTTTTGTTAAAATATTTGGTTGTTTTCAAAGTAGCTGTAAATTCGTCAACTCACAGCTTTTTCAAATACTTTAGAAAAGAAGGCAATATAGAAATGGAACGAGAGATGGCAACGGCGCGGCGTTTATATCGCATAAAGGAATATCTTGAAAAAATGCCTCTAGCTCTTCCAATTTTGATCTTAAACATTGAATATTGATAAATCGTCTTTGTGGAACGCTTTTCTTGATCAATTTGCCACACTTTTTTGTTACTTTACATTATTTTGAGACGGCACAGTTAAGTTTAAAATGATCTTTAAATCTTTTGCGCGCTTTATACGCCGAGAACTTTGATCATCCCTATCTTGCCGATTTGAAGAACGTTGTGCACCGTTTATTATAATCCTTATTTAAAATATTAACATCTTCAGAAATATGTTTTTTTGGAGATTTAACCAAGTCACTCTATTAATTAACAACACACAATGACTAATCTTATAACAATGGATCTTTTCATGAATGAATAGTTGAAATCCCAAAACATTTAGTAGGTTGTTCTTAATTACATGTACTGGTAACTACTGGATGCAAAATATCAACCTCTGAAATTTTTCCTCATAGATCTGGCAGCTGCGACGCTTATAACATCATCCTATTTTCTGGTTTTGATCGAAATAATCTTCCCTTTAGTTACTGAGTAATTCTTACATCTAAAACAATGCCGGATTGTGAATGGCGGCGGGCATTAAGTAATTTTCATTGGTTCGTTATTTTCTTTCCACCACTACCAAACGGTTTTTAGAGCTGTGGATGATTACAGAATCAGCGATTTCTTACCGCTCGATTCCCAATGAGCTGAGTCACAGAAGTAACAAAAGAAGGCTAATTTACAGAGTGTAATTCAAACCTACACCTAGACAATGAGGCGACAACTAACGATTGGGAACAATCAACTCATAGATAACTGTGGGAAGATGATAAATTTTTATTACAATTGTCAAAATGAAAACTTGAAACTACCATGAACAATATTTTGTATGGGGGAACTCTTCTCCTTCCGCCTGTTTTAGGCGGGAAAAAAATTCAATTAAAAATGCTTCCGTTACACGTTCGTAATAGCCAGTAGACAACAAAATTGAGTATCAATGGAGTACCTACGTATCCCTTAGTACTTCTAATTATGGAGAATCGATTGAAGTGATAAAAATATTGCAAGTCGAAATAATTACCTATCCAAACATATGAAACCTTTAACACTGTGTCTTTCAGGAAGTATAATAATAGCACTATTCTGGTCTTGAATAAAAATGGGACAAATTCTTTCTTTTCTTGAAGCCTTCACCCTAGTAGGTACTCTTCGTAAAGAAGTTAGCTTTTACCCACTCCGTTGAGAAACACGTGTTTTGGTTAATCCTTTACGTGCGAAACATGATTGTTACTGTTTTTGCAAGATTTGTGCAACGTAGCTCTTCAAAATTCTGTTTTTTATTGGAAAAGTTGGAGAGGCGTTAGTTTTTAACATTCACATAAACACGCAACTTCTATTTCCATGTATTCCCTCTAGATTTCTAGTTTACAAGGAAGATGATATTTATGTCTCAGTTACGAACACTTGAAACAAAGTGCGCACATGAAGTGCTTACACCAAATATGCTTGCTAAGAAAAGCGAAGGGAGTAAGACCATGTATCGACGAAAGTTTTGTTTTTGTTATCCTAACATGTACGAAACTGTAATATTAATAACGAATTTAGTGTTTATGGAGAAGTGGAAGTTGTAAAGTAAATGTATTGTTAGATTGTATCTCTATTATGCATGCAAACAGAAAACATTGGGGTTCTGTATACATACATGCACTCCCCCCAATACACTTCAATTACCTCTTAATGTAACAGAAGTGATATTCCCGGCTAGCTTTTGAAACTCCAAAAGCCATTTCTGATGTTAGTGTTTTATAAACCGTGACTTTATTGGTGTATCTCACTATGTTCATTGAATGTAGGTAGGTATTATTGCCCACTACCTGTACTTCAAGTAATTTTAACAAAGGATTGCTAATCTGCACCCATATATTTACGAGGTCTTTCCTTGTGAAAATGTGATATAATGTGTAAAAAGGTGTTGTAAGCAATAAATTATAACGAAGTACCTTATGAGATGCTTTCAATTACGGCACTTCTTCATTTGACCTTTAATTACAACGTCAAAAATGAAATTAACGCCGGGCAGATTTTCCAATACCCTGACTTTATTACTTTTCTCACCGTTGTATCGCTTTCCTCTAGAAAGACATCCATGATGATAATTTCCACTAAATTATTTTGTGAAACTGATCATGTGTGGTTATTTGAGTTGTGCTGCGGTACATAGAGAGGATTTATTATCCGCTAATGTAGCAAACCGTTGTCAACTTTAATGTGAGAGTAAACACATTTCAACAGAAAAAAAGCGCCTAACTTCTTTGCATCGGTTCAAGATGTATCGTTTTAGGTTGAAAATGCATGAAAATAGGTATTTTGGTTATTTTTCACTAAACTTCGTGAAACAAGAATAATTTTTGTGGGACAATTCAACTCATGTATAAAAAATCGCATAAGCCGCAGTGAAATTGTCACTTTGACAGCGGCAAAAGTTACCTGCAACTTTTCCAGCGACAAATGCACTAGTGGTTTTTTCACTTATTCATTTTCGAACCAATTATCGCATTATCCTTTCCCATATGACTAGTTTGACGTCTGTCAATAATTGATTAGTTTGGTGAATTTCTTGTTCGTTAAATTGTCCTGCCGAATTACACTCGAGGTTTGTATTTAAACCGAGTAAATTTGGGTTGTGGCAATTCAAATCTGTTTCCTTTTAGCAATTGAACTCGAAAAACTGTCAACCTAAAAATGCTCCACCTGCGGTGTCGCATTTTTATAAGTTGACAGTTTTTCTCGTCTAATTGCTAGGCAACAGATTTTCATTACCTAAACAACCCAAATTTACTCGGTAAAATACAAACCTCTTGTGCAATTATAAGTGATAAAAAAATTAAAAACGAAAAAATTTTCACATCCAAAGAAAGTAAGCGGTTTCTTTTTTCTATGTTTACTGAAAAAAGAAACTTAATGGTTATACCCTGTACTTCTCTTTCTTTTTTTGGCTAACGAGGCACTGTATGCAGGTGAACCAAAATTACATCTAAAACTTTGATATTAAATAACGGCCTATTTTCTTCTCTTCGTGTTGGGATGATAATAATGCTCAATTTGAGAGAAATATGTAATCACCTGTACGTATAAATAACGTGTAAAGTTATTTCCCGTAATGTGTACTTAAACGAGAGAACTTAAAGTAGGTACCTTTTTTGTGCCACACCAAAAAAAGACATAAAAGTTTCAAGAGCGACGTGTACTTTTCGTGTTGTCATTCCTCTTCCTTGCAATGTTTTGAATAAATTGGTAGTTTAAGAGCCAGGGGTTGTTGAAATATGCACAATGAATATTGACGTTAACAAAATTTGGGAGAACTTTATGTAAAAGTTTAAAATATTCACTTGAAGTGTCTACGTATGTTCTTTGATAGACCCAGCTCGTTACATAAATAATTCATGTATAGCGGCAATGTGCACGTAATCGCATGTTATAACGCGTTACTATTAATCATGGTGCTGGTTAGCAATTAACTAACAAATTACTTTGTTTCAGTAACATCGCAAAACAGAGGATCGTCCCATAAATTAGCCATCGTCCCGATTGTACTACAAATGTCGTTGTTGTTAATGTAAGCACTTGGCGTAGACATATTTTGTGCATAAGTATTTTAATAAAATGTGATAAAACTACTGTTTTGGCTCATTCGATGAAATGTTGATAGCAGTTTTTAAGTCAATGCTCCAAATTGTAATTGAAGTGAGCGAGTATTATCATATGAACTTGCCAAAAGCGTGTATATTTTCATTAAAAACGCAAATAAGAGGGTAAATGCCAGAAATATTGTTTTATCGTTTGCGTACACGGCAAGGAAATAGATGTCAAGTACATACCATTTCAACATTTTGCGTACAACTGTAAATTGCTGTGCCGGAGAAAGGGTGTACGTATAAAATAAAAGTACTCGGTAATGTTTTAATGCTCATGTTGTATATACAAAAAGCTGAATATGTGTTAGGTAAATTTTATTTGTGTATAATAAAGTTACTTTAGTACGTTCTTTTTTATTACTCTCGTTTATTTATTTTATATCACGCTGGAAAGATCACAGTTATATGCGTTTAATGGTTAATGGAATAATCCGGAGTTGCAAAAGTAGAACCACTGCCGAGGGAAAGAAAAGTATTGAATTTGAAGATTTGAACGACTAAGACAATTCTTGAGCAAAACAAATTACGGTAAGTACCTTTGCATACACGGTGTCCTAACGAAACTTGTACCCCCCTCCAGTTCGACAAAATAAATGTTTTGACAAACATCTAAAAACCAGTATATTTTTACATCGATAAATAATAATCAATAGTTCTTTAACCCTGTGCTAGACGTAGCAACCCCCATCCAATTTTAAAAGAGATCAGGGGCCAAATGACCTAAGATTTGGGAATTTTAATTATTTACACAACACAATTTTTTCGTTTGTAGAAGCACACCTCCTCCAGTATTTATGTATTTTCGTAATTTGCGTTACTTATCGATTAGAATTAACCTGCACTGCATATGCGCACCCCTCTACCAACGATCTAAGAAGAATCGAACAAGAAAAGTTACCGTCGTACAACCATCAATAAAAATGAGCGTGTTTGTTAAGAAAGAGCACATCATTTTCGTCGTACTTATTTGTACCACATCGTAAATGCTTCGTCGATAGCATCGCCTACGTCAAAGCAGAATCGTTGCTTTCGTTGTGTAACCAGCCCGTGTAATCTACGTTATCGCTACTACAAAGCAATCAACGCCATCACCCACATCGTCTACCGCCTTCGTTTGTTTATTTGCATCTTCTTCTCAGGAGATCAAGTTTGAAACCGAAATTTCGTAATTATTCCAATTTCTAGTACATGTGCCGTATCAACAGCTTACATCTGAAAATCGATTTCTTCGGACTGCCACTAGCCGCCTTCAAACGTACTGGGAATTCACTGTTGATCCAATAAACAAGTTTTTCGCTATCTCTCCTACACGTCGATCTTGTCCTTCGTTTTATTGATTTATGTTGTGTATTTTATTGTGTATCACTATAATTTTAATTTGTATGCAAAATGCCTTGTAGCGTTAATAAAATTATTATTATTATTATCAATAGCCAAATCAAGATTTATGATATTTGTATTTTTAATCAATAAACACGTTATTTATTCGGGTCGATATTCTTTCAACGTCCCTCTTATACAAAGGCGTAGTAAGCAATTAAATTTCATGTACAGTCCATTATAAATATCGAAGCTTGTACGCAACAGGTCTAAAAAAAAGTTTGTTTGGACCACAATAAATAAGTAAAAAAATTTTGTATTATAATTCATTGAAATTACCTTATTTACACTACAAATAGTGGAGACTGGTCTTAAAATAGAATTTTACAGCAAAGTAAACTAAATTTCAGTAAATTTATATGTTATATAATATTTAAACATGTACCTATTTTGTATTTTAATTCTTAAATGTATAGGAATATTTAGATAAATTTCTTTGACATTTTGTAATGTATAGACTAAATAAACAATTAACCTTTGAAGTGATTTGAAATTAACCAGGAATATTTTTTATTTCTTTCATGTTTTATGTTTAAATTTTAAAGAAGTGTAATAAAAAATTTCGTTTATTACACGTCCAGAAATGCTTTTTCAGTGCTTGCCTGTTACCTGGACCCCTAATGAGATACTTTCCCGTACTCCCTATATTACCCTTAATAATCCCTCTTGTCAAAAGTCGGGGTGTCTAAATCTCTTTGTATATTGAGGCGTTATTTGAAAGTAGATTAACTCCGCGCCCACATTCCAATATTATGCAACCCTTACCAAGTGAGACATTATTTTAGAGGTCAAAAGATTTTTTGTACAGAACTGCCCAAGAAACTAAATTTAGATGATCTGTTAAAAGTAAAGGAAGAACTTTCATTAATGTTTGTACTCCGTGGCAACGGAGAACAGTTTTTTCTCTTCATTCGATGGTGTACTTGGTGGACGTTTGTAATTATCAGAAACAGCAAGTACATCTGAGGGAGGAAATTTTCAGAAATTGTTGAAAGATAATCCTTCTATTTTATAACATATTATGTTAAATTGACATTTTAATAGGTTTGAATGAGTCGCTCTTTAACCGTAAGGGTAGCTAAAGTGAAACAGATGATTCATGATTCTAATGACATTTGTCCTTATTTCAAATGTGACGCGAAGCACTATTTAGTGTCAAAATGCTCCTGACAACATTCTTTCCGCGGCAGTTTCTAATCTTGTGCAACGAGTCGGGGACTAGCAGACACTTTTTTGTGCCCAAATCTTGAATATACAACAATTTCTATATGGCTTCCTCAGCTCTTACTTCAACCGGTTTTCATAATCAAGCCCACCGAAAGTGTTTCAACCAATATTTTACACACACTCGAAAATAAGATGAGTTGGGTATTGTAAGTACACCTGCATCTTCTTTCATCGATAACTTCGCTCGATGCCCAAAGTTAAGTTCGTTTATTTTCCAAAACAAACATACTGTCAAAACTGCCAAATATTGTAGAGCCGTACAGAATTACGTCAAAGTAACTATTACATTAAGCCTTTATAAAGACTAAGCATGTTATTTGGCAACAATTTGTACAGTATGACATCATTATCATATATTACTTTGAAAGAACACTCTCATATAAGCCCCGTATTCGTGTTTACAAAATGAATAATTTATACAATTGCCGTACCCTAGTATAACATAAAAAATGTTGGTATGCCCCCAGTACCCTCAAGAGGGTAAATCTCCGTCTCACATGGTTCACATCTTTCATACACATAGTAACACAAATTAATTAATGCCCATTAACACACAATTTGCCATATATTCCTGGTTAGTAATTTACCTAGGGAAGGTTGACATGTATGATGTAATTAGTACCTAAAACGTAAATAACAATGTTTTTTGGCGAGAAAAATCTATATGATCTTATATGTAAATATAGATCTAAATATAACGACTTATAATACTAAGCAAGTGTAACTATTGTCGATGTAGGCGCAGTATAAAATGTAAATTTCAAAATTACTATGCAGAATTTATAAGAAATACGAGAAAGATTTGCCTTCGTATATATAAATGGAATTATTATGATTTTAAATAACAAATGGCTCTGTGTTCATTTCTCTCTGTAATTTAAAAAATATTCTTTGTTCTGACGAAAGTTTGCGTCCACTTCCCGTTAAATAAAAGCTTTCTATTTAATTAGGATGCTCCGAAGATGTTTTTATCAAATTTATCACTTTTATTAGAAATGAAGCACTTATTTTGCAGAAACGAACTCATTTTCTCTTGATACATGGGTTGTGTTGCAGTTTTTATCTTTTATGCTCGGTGTTATTATTATTATTTTGGTTTTCGGTGGTGATCACAATTCACAATGTCATCTGCGCATGCACATGCTGCGATTTATATTCTTGCCATGTTTTTGTGCAACTTTTCTCTATCGTACTGTTGCACTGTTTAATTATGCAGTCCATAAGTAAATAATAGGGGGCTCATGCCTCCTCCCTGCCTTAGGCAGTTAGGCCTCCCTTGGTCTTAAACATTTCCGATTTTAGACTTCCCTTTATAACACAATTACTGCTATTTCGGACTTCGGTATCAACTTGTATATTACCCTTATTAATTTTCCGTTTAATCCATTTGCATACAGAATTTCCCAAACTTTCTTATTGCTATGCTTTATTAAATATCTCCAGTAGCATTTTTATTCCTTTAACCTCTAGAATTTTAGCATTTCACTGGTTATTTTATCATGTCCAGGTGCCTTTCCCAGTTTTATTTTAGCTATTGCATCTATCATTTCATTTGGTGTGATTGACATTTCTTCACCATCCTTTTCTGCTACTACCTTTGGATTTCGAGTTTCTTCTTTTCTTAATGTGTTTATAATATTATAAAAAAGTTTCTGGTTCCCGTTACTTCCTTCCTTTATTTCCTCGCCAAAATTTTCATATCGCTTCATACAATAAGGGTTTCCATAAAATTCAATTATAAAATATAGGCAGGAAATTAACAATGAGAACTCTAAGGATTTTCTTATTTTATTATCTCGCACCAATGTAAAAAGTTTGCAAGGCAATGCCCAATCAACGAATTAATTTAAAATAAGCCAATTCCAGTGTGTTGGAATTTTTTATACACATACAAAAACAGAAAAATTTCAATCACAGCCTCACAACAAAAACATTTTACATCTTTCTTTCTGGGTTATTGTTTTCTCGTAATGAATTTTTGCTTCGTTCGTAATAACGCGAAAATAGTGTAAGATAATAAACGTACAATAATAATTGCAGGTAAATTTATTTATATATAAAATTATGTAAGGCAGACAATCTAGAACTTTGAAGTGGATGTCGGACAGCGCTGAGAGTATCAAACAGCACTTGCCTGGGAATTAGTGTCCGTTTCAGATTATATAGGTCGATGTAAAGGGCTGTTAGCCCTTACTGCATTAGATTAACTTAATCGCCTACATATACTTTCCTTTTGCGATAAACCCTTAAATTTATTATTCCTGTACAATTATTCAGTTATTTCCTAATTCCTTCTTTCTTCCAGCCATAATAAATTAGTTGAATAAAAAATGTTTTAATCAAAATACGAAGGCGATAAATCGCGTTAGTTGAAA